CATACAGTGACTCATTCAGTCATTAAAACTGCTCCAGCTGAAAGATATTATCCTTTCCTTTATTTCTTTTTATCTTCATACTAACTGTTCATGAGTATTAACATGCAAAACCTTCAAACTGTTTACTAACGGAAATACATACGTATCTTATTTCTGCTAAAAAAAAGTATTGATTTCAATTCACCCCACTCACACCAACAATGTTATCTTTCCTTCAGGCATTAGATGCCAAATTCTTTACATATATTTTCTAATTTATCATACCAAGTGGCTTAGTTTTGTAATGATGGCAGTGATGATGTCTAGTGGTTTATTAGCAATATTGTTTAAGAGCTCATTTGGGAAAGTAATGTCCCCTTCCTAAATATGCAACTTTCTCCCATAAGTAATGTTATCTTCACATGCTAAGTATTATTCCTAGTTCCTAGAATTAAGCCCTCACCCCCCACTTTTTTTTCTCCTAATTCTTTCATTGGAAACGTGTAGGCTTCTTCTGTATTTAAGACAACAGCAAATTACACTTAGCTCCATGAAAGGTAAATTCGATAATGTCAACTTCTACCATAACAGTTAAAGAGCAATGTCGAATTAAAAGAACAAGTTTTCATTCTCTAAATTTGAAGATATAGTGTTTATTTCTTCACTAAGACGTTCTTTACCCTCTTGATTCCTACTCTGTTCAATCCAAGATCTTACACCTTCTCAAAGTTATCTGTTCTTGTATTTAATGCTACTTACCTCTTGTGTTCTGTAAATTCTCTCAAGTAATTTCAATTCCCTAAGGACTGTTATCTTACAGTTTAGAACATCTCTCCATCAACCTTGGTGATGAACTTTTATCTTCCATATATGTCATAAATAAATTATAATAGCTTCATAACTATATGCACTCCTATGATTTCCAGTTTAGATTATTTAAAGTGTATAAGTCTATTTATTATTTAAATTTTATTAAGTCTATCAAGCCTTATTTGTTTAAATAACCAAAACCCACAGTGATCTCTGTTCATCCAGATAACAAAATATTTTCTATTTCTTTATCATGAAATACTTCAATACTAGGTATTTCCTTCCTATTGAGAGGATTCTTGGAAGTAAAGAATGTATCTCACATGTATTTATACATTTCTTAGTATTCTCACAAAATGAAAACAATGCCTTGCACATAAGTATGATTTTAAAACTGAACTTTCTAATAAGTTTTAGATTAGGACATCACTAGTGCACATACATTCAAAGAACTCATGCTGAGATTAAGTGTGTATCCATGATCATCTGCATTTAAAACAGATCTTTTTAGTAAAGCACCATCATGGCCCAAACAGAAAGAAAAAACAATATGGCAAGTTGCATTTATTGTTTATAAACTAATTAATAACTAACAAACCAGGTGATCAAAATACACAGCTATGCTACAAATCAAAATATTTTCATAGGACATTGTGATTTTCAAGAATATCTTGATCTTCAAATCATGAAAAAAAAAAAAAAAACCACCAAAAACCTGCTGACCAAAGCAATTATACAAGGAACTTTAAAAACTGAAGGGGGTTCTATAACAAATGTAGACTTAATCGGAATGCTTTTCCCCACTGTTTGTTAATCACCTACTACGTCTATAATTAGAAGCTGAAGAATTAGATCCTAACCAAAAATAAGTAGTGATCAATATATACACATATACTCTATTTTCCATTGCGCTTCTTGAAATCAACTTCTAAAAATAGATGATTTTCATTCAGAAGAATTTACAGCATTTACCTCTTCCTCCAATCCCTCTGTTGCTACGCCCGGGAGCAGAAGGAGCAGATCTTTGAGGAGGAGGACCTCCACTTCTTGAAGATGGACCTCTTTTAACTGGAAAGGGTCCCCTGGAAGAACTCATGTTGAGGTTAAGAGTACATTCTCCATCATCTGTGTTTAAATGAAATCTTTTAATAAAGTACAATCAACATTTTTAATGATGAAGTTTCACTGTTTAAAAATCTTTACTAAACAATGTTATGGTCTTAGGATTCAGATTTGTATAAACTAACCTTGTTTTCTCACATGATATACATAAATACAAATCAAAAACTTATTGTGAATGTTAGTTTGGAATACCTAGAAAAACTCAGAAGCATTATATATTCACATTAAAGAGACACTTTTGGGAAAAACTGAAGGGGTGGAGAAAAATGGTAAGTAATTGCTCAAGTAATCCTCATGTCAAGAAAGCTACTTTAAAAAGCATATAATACATAGGCACAAATCAAAATATTTTAAAAAATCTAAAGGAGAAGATACATCAAAAACCCATTACCTGAAAGAGTTAACATATACAATTCTTACAATGCACTTAATAGTCAACAAAAATTTATGTTATGTTCAATTTTACTGGTATTTTAAGAAATGAATATTAAATCATTAAAAATCATTTTACTTTTCTAAACCAGAAAAACGTTTAGATATATTCCCATTCCTTGGTATTGTCATAGGTAAAAAAAAAAAAAGAGTATTCTTATACACGGCAGAAAAAGGTAAAATTTTTTCAGTATCAGTTAGTGGATAAAAACAAAATTGCTTCTAAATGGGACAAATTTGGGGCACCTGGGTGGCTCAGTCATTAAGTGTCTGCCTTCGGGTCAGGTCATGGTCCCAGGGTCCTGGGATCGAACCCCGCATAGGACTCCCTGCTCAGTGGGAAGCCTGTTTCTCCCTCCTCCACTACCCCTGCTTGTGTTCCCTCTCTCGCTGTGTCTCTCTCTGTCAAATAAATAAAACAAAATCTTAAAAAAATAAAAAAATAAATAAATGGGACAAATCTTACAATTGTACTTTAGGAGACAATTTCCTAAATATCACACTGATTTTCAAGAACAGAATCTCAATGTTTGATTTTTAAGGACTGGTTAACAGAAGGAACAAAGTTTACTCAACACACAGGAAGTGACCCCTTTTCATACTGAGTAAAAAAGTCTTCTCTGAAAAGTTCATAAATACCATTTTCAATGATTCATTCTCCCTCCAACACACACAACAAAGATAAATTCGTATTTGTGAAGCAGTGGCTTTTAACCTTTGTCTGAGTAAAGACATCTTCCAAAATCTAAAGAAAGCTCTAGATATTTCCCCAAATGCAAGTTTCACTAACAAGACCCCAAGGCAGAAAACCTTCGCATTGATGTTTGCACAAACATATATGGAAAACAAATACTGCAGTCTGAATTTAGTTTGAAATTTATGCCATTTCACTGCAAGGTTATATTTTTGCATACTATTTCAAGCATTTAAAACTATAATTCCTTAGCCTTTAGCCATAACATAATAAAAAGAAAAAAGGAAAGAAAAAAAGAAACAAATGTGATAAAATAACACTGTAAAGGAAATATCTATGGAAACATAAATAATCTGAAAAGATCATCTAATAACCAAATTTTCAAAGTAAGCATTATATTCAGTTAAATGAATAAATTGATTTTAAATGATTAGGTATACATTTCTAAGGCAGGAATTTCTCTAAATTTTCCTTCTGTAAAACTCATAAATTATTGGTCTGGATAATTATTGTAAATTGTCAACTCATCAGTTAGGTCTTGGCAAATGGCAATAATTACAATAATAAAAATGAGAAACCAAATTTGTGAGGCCATGGTTTGTCTGAAGGACTGAAGACAAATATGGTAATAAAGTGTTGTGTTTTCATCATTAAAAAAGAGTAGTATTTCAATTATGAATGTTAATTCCTCATCTAATGAATCTTAGTTGATTATGATCCTAAAAGATGTAAATAAAAACCTATGTATTTCCAGACATTCAAACCTACTGTTTTCCAGTCCTATGGTTCCATCCTTATATTTTAAAACATTACCCAAATGTCCTCCACGTGAGGAACGCCCTCTTGCTCCTCCACTTCCTCCTCTTCCACATCTCACGCTTCTTGGATGGCCTCTGTTTCTTGGATGAGGTGGTGGCTCCTGTCTTCCACCACTTTCAAAAGATGGTTTGTTGGCTTGCTCCACTTTAATTGCTTTTCCATCCAAAGACTAAAGACATTAAGTAGAATATCAGTAACATTACACCAATTTAACAAATTTTACAAATCTACTCATTACTGAAACTAAAATCACGTTCAAATAAAGAAAATAATGATCAGGTCCTTCACCTGCCAAATATGAGACATTTAACTAGTAACTGCCTTCCATTAAGTCATCCAATACAAATGTAGTATTAAAACTTATTGAAATACCATCCAGGATCCAAAAGAATAGCTCTCACATTTCATGAAAATATACATTTTCTAATGTATAACTCACTTTATTTTTGGGTTTCTAGCATTTACATTTTCCAGTGTCCCGAAGGTATATAAAACAATGTGTACTGTCATTTAGAAAAAAAGTTACTATTACTTATTCAAAATGATTGTTTATATTCTGTACAACTTATTGGTTCTGTTCTGCTAAAAATTAAAAGGAAATATCCTAATATGATTGCAGCTGTATTTACTGTAGTTATAATGACCCTCTTTGCTTTTCTTTCTTTTAATAGAACATTTATTTGGTCTTTAATGTTTTGCCATACTCTGTTCTTACACAGCTTTGCTTTAAAAATGTTCCTAGAAAACAAATTTTTAATATAGTACTTATTCTCATTTTTCAAATTAAATTTCTTAATCTCCCAAAAATTTCAGAATTGTTTATCATTCACAGGGGCCAAAGTGATTTTTAATAACATAACTTTTAATAATTATCCCACATAAAACATTCTGGTCATTTTGTATTACATATGTAAAAGAGTCTTAAATCCTAAATTCCTACCAAGTCTTCTGGTATGTATGAGCCCTACCCCAATATAAATAGCCACAAATAGCAGTTCCCACACCAGGGACTCGTTTGCTGTTTCTAGGTCCAAAATATTTTCTACAAAGTTATGCATGGCTGCTTCCTTTATCAAACGCAGGATTCAGCTAACTCCCCTTGATCGTCATGGATAAAACACTGTCCACTACCCCTAAAAGTTATAACTAGATTACTAACTTTATTTCTTATCAAAGTTCTTGTACTAACCATATTAATTCTTATTTAAACAGGTCTTATCTTTCATCCTCAAATACAAGAAAACAGGTACTTTGATTTACAACCATCACTCAGTTGCTTTATCAAAGGCTAATACATAAGTCCTCACTAAAATATCTGCTGAAAAAAATTAGAAATAAAGTCTATACAAACTCAAGTCCTTGTCCTCAAAAACCAGAAAACAAAGGAATCATCAATTGTTCTAAATAATTTACCTCTATACACAACACAAAATCCTCAGCCAAATCCAACTTCTACATGAACAATCATAAAATATAAAAGCAAAGGAAAAAAAGGTCAGTATGTAGGGACAGCCTCCTTTGTACCAGAAACCAATGTACAGGGGAAAAAAGAAAACTAATATATGTATTCCACACTGTGAACTTAAGAAGTCCTGCAAATAATTTAAAAATGAACTTAATTAACACAATAAAAATAAAATAAATTAAAAAAATAAAATAACTGAAATTTTGAGAAATGAGCTTAATTTATAGTATTATGAGTATAAAAAGATACTACCTGCAAGATAAGAGATAAAATTTTGGAGTAAATATGCAATTTGAGTTTTTGAAGGTGAAAATGCTAGGGCTGACCCAGGTCTTGACCAGTCCAAAAAATATTGGGAATAGCTTAAAGAATAATAAAGCCATAAACAGATTAGGATAATCTAAAAAATGAAGAAGCCAAAAATTCTAGAATGGAGTGACCTGGAGTGTGATAAAGTATTCAGTATTTTAACTGAATCACTGAAAAAACTTAAAAGTATATAGAAGACACATAATTCCTGGATTTTAAGATCCAGAAAGAAAAAGACTAACTGCTTTACTCATTAGTTCATTAAAGTATGGATCAAAATAAACCCTCATTGAACCAGGAAGAAATAGAAAACCTGAAAAGACCTATAACCACTCAGGAAATTGAAGCAGTCATCAAAA